CCCCCCCCCCCCCCCCCCCGCCCCTTCTCCTTCCAACCGCTCCCCTGTCCGCTGCTCCTGCTTGCAGCTGTGCACGCCCCGTCGGGTTGCTTGGGCACTGGGCACCGGCCTGGGCGCCTCCCAGCCCCCTCCCACCAGTCCTCCTTGAGTCCTCGCGGCCAGTGGCTAGGAGAGCGGGCAGGCGTGTGCCTCGGCGATGGCCTCCTTTCTGGGGACGACGAGGCGGTGCTGGCCGGGCGGGGCGGAAAGCCCTGTTCGCTTGGTTCTCCCACACGGGGAGGCCTGACTGTGAGCTGGCTCAGGGACCTGCCAACTTCCACGGGCTTTGTTTGTGCCGGGGAGGGGGAAAAGGCTTCATCCAAGGAATGAGTGTGTGTGTGTGAGAGAGAGAGAGAGAGAGAGAGAAAGAGAGAGAGAGAGAGAGAGAAAGGATTGTGCCTATCACTTTGTAAACAACCCTGCCTATCTACCTGCCTGCCTATCACTCTGTGTCTGTCTGTCATTGCTCCGGTCCTGGCTGGCTGGCTAGCCTCCTCCATCTTCTTGTCCTTGGCATGTCCCAGCAGCAGCAGTAACGTGCGTGCACACACGCACACAGACACAGACACACACACACACACACACACAGACACACACAGACAGACATGGGCAGAATCTGGAAGCTAAGGGAGAAGGCAATCAGGCATGGGAGGGGGAAGAGAGAACATACAATTGTTTTAGAGGAGGTTTCTGTCATCTCCGGATGACTGAGAATTTCCTGTTTTTCACGGTAACTGGGGAACCGACATAGGAGGGGTTAACTTCCTTTCCCCAGTCAGTAATGTAAGGGCCAGGAGTTTCAGGTCATTTTCAAGTCTGTTTCCATCTCTAAAGCAAACCTGTGTGTGCCTCTGTGTGTGTGTGTGTGTGTGTGTTTGTGCCAAGATCTTGGGTCTCTTCCCTTCCCCCACCTTCTCTTTGGTGCATGAGCTTGGGTTGTTTACCTCAGACTCAGACCCTTGAAAATCTGCCAAATTCCTTAAATAACTGTCTTGGGGAAGATGAAAGGGAAAAAAAAGTTGCGCTTTGTTTACAGTACAAAAATCCAATATCTAAAAGGGAGTTCTCCTTTAAAAAAGAAAAAAAGAAATCATCCTCCCCAGAAAGCTCTCATTCCATGATCTCGTGTAAAACATTTTTGCACTGTTGTGAAGTATTTTTGCAGACATCTCTTTTGTACATAGCGGTGTTCTCAGATCTAGATGTTTATAATCTTTTGCTGTGCAAAAGGAAACTTTAAAAAAGTGATTCCCTTGTACATAAGAAAACTGTCTAAAACACTTGGTTATTTTTGAAGAACAGCAATGTTCTGATTTTGTTTGCACATAAGTGGAGATAATAAAGAGGATAACTTAACGGAAGGACACATCTGCTCCACTGCTGGGGGGGGGCTGGCCAGGATGAAAGGGGGAGGATGAATGAATTTAACTCATATTCATTGTGGTCTGAGAAAGTGAGGCATCTTGGAGAGTCCCCCAGTGACTTTTAGTGGGCTTCCCTGTCCTTCCTCAGGGTTCTTCATGGAGGGATGGAGGTGGGAGTGGGGCTTGCCTACCTATCACTGTGACTGGGATGGAGGGAGTCCAGTGGAAGGCCCGGGGCTATGCTCATCCTTGTTCACCCAGCTGCCTTTCCTATCCAAGCACCTTACCACCTGCACTCCTTCCTGCCAGTCTTCTAGAGATTGTTTTTGTTTGGAGGCCGTGCAGCAAGTTTAGTTTGTCTCTTTGTCCAACCCCCTTCAAGCTTTCGAGGTTGTTTGGAAGAGTGCTATTGCTTTTACATGGAGAGGCTGGCCCCCCTCCCCTTGCTAGTAGAGAGATAGACAACTTTGAGCCAGAGGAATCTCCTAAGGACAAACATTTGGCTGCTAGGGTGGGCAGAGACAGAGAGAGAAACTGAGGCACATTTCAAGTTTCATAGTGTGTCATGGGAGGGGGCAGGTGGCTCAGGAAAGCCACAGCCCTTCCATGGATTTAGCAGTCAGAAAATGCTTGCCCTCTGACAGGGCTGTTGATGTGGAGAAGGGGTTACCGGAAGGTTTGCTAGTTGTTGCTTTTTAAAAAGTTTGTCATGCTTTCTGCATGTTTGTTTCTCTTGTAAACTCCCAACAGATGTCCCTTTTGACTACAGCAGCTCAGCTGGGTGTTGTAATAAGACACGATCCAAGCTGGGTCTTCTGTGGCTGTTTTTTCTCTTTTCTTTCTTCTCCTTTTTAGCTGGGGCCTCAGGTTTGCCCCCCTCCTGCTCTAAAGTCACATTCTCCAGGCTGATGTGCCTTGGGGCTCAGGAAGGACTTAGGGAGTGACTGCTCCAAGTATGTTCTGAGAATGCCCATCCCCAGGGTCCCAAAGCAAAGGGGGAGGTGGCCTTCACACTGCATGAGGTCTTTCCTCCCTTATAACTCAGAGCTGCAGATCAGAGGGGGGTGTTGTCCAAAGGAACCTTTGCAACAGGAGAATGAAGCAACATGATTCAGACCTGGTTACTGTTGGCAAAAGAACAGCACACACTCCAGGCTGCAGGGTCCATGAACCATGGTCTCAGCTCAAGGAGCTTGGCCAGGGCTGGAAGCCTCAGGGGCACATGCTTCCCTGGAAAAGAGATGAGATAAAATCCTAGGGAGAGGGAAGGAGGTGCTAAGTAAGCAGGGCAGTTAAGGAAAGATGTAGAAGCACTCGTCCCCACTCCTCTCAAGGAGCATTATTTTAGCTAGGGCCTTATGGATGAATGCTCCCCTCCCCTTCCCCTTCCCTCCCCTCCCCTTC